CCTGGGATAAAGTTATCAGCGATCGAAATCTCGGGTTTTAGATTTGTTTCTTGCCAGTCAGACCACTTCCTGCATTTTGTTTCAGGGTCGTCGCCTGTTCTGCGTTCAAGTCTAAAGAAATACTCTCCGTCTTTGTCTGCATTTTCTTTCCGCAGGTCGAGGCTCGTTATCCCTGGAGAAGCCGACCTACAAGAGAAACAATCAGAATTGAAGTTGTGAAGAGCGTACTGCGATTGCGTGCACAGATTGATCAAATACGAGCTTAACCCAAAGGGATACTGCCGATATTTGGCAATTGAAGTTACAACAAAGTAAGAAAGTAAAAATCTAATTATAAAACACACCTGGCTGTTCAAGTCAAGCTGTAGTAGGTCATGGCGTACGCTCATCATGATAAGACTAGCCGTATTCATGAGAATGTGCGTTTGAAAGGAAAGTTTTCTTTAGAAATAACTTAGAATGGTTTGTAGATTTGCATCTCATCGTTGTTAAAATGGTTGTTGAGAGAGTGGCGTAAGTTTCCTGGTACAAGCTCAGGGGGAAAAAACAATCCAAGTTTTGAATTGTTTTGTTTTTTTTTTGTTGACAAGACTGGATTTGATAAAAAAGCTTTATCTGAGGTGGTATTTTGGTCAATGGCAGTCAAACCTCTTATGTTTAGGGACCATATTTGGTGAAGAAGCTTACCCTTCGAGGCTAAAGAATCGCTCCGTATCTTCCAGATTTCCATCTCCAGCGTTTATGCCTGCCACAGGATAGCCGGAAAACTCGGTCGGAAACAATTCACTGAAGAGAAAATGATTTCCTTAGTAATATGTTAAACAGTATTTGCGAACTACACGTGTCTCTAAAATGCAACGAAAAACGAGCAAGCCTACATGATAAGAGGTTTAGACGCTCGACATATATACACCACGGCAGCGTGTTGGTCTGCGCATCGAGACTTTGGAACCACAACTCTTTCCAACTGAAGTCACTGTGTTGTGTTCTTGAGCTAGACACTGCCTCAATTTGCACCCATCCTTTACTAGTTACAAAGAATTACCTTCCTTCAGCATGACTTTTAGAAATGTTTCCTCGTTTTATACTTACTAAAATTTCGGCGATGCCCACTGAAGGGCGTTGCAAGG